CTCGCCACGCGGGCCGAGGCCTGGCAGGCCATCCCCGGAGTGTCGAGATGGGTTATGGGGATAATAAAATGAGGATATTCACTCCAATTCGCTCGAAGACCCCCGCGCTTCAGCGGCGTGGTCCCCACCTCAGTGCAAAGCAAGGACGCTCACGTTTCAGAGGTGATGAATTTGCTGGCAAAAGGAGCCGTGGAAATAGTTCCTCCAGCCCAGAGCGAGTCAGGCTTCTACAGCCGTTACTTCCTCGTCCCCAAAAGAGATGATGGCCTCCTGCCCATCCTCGATCTCAGACACCTGAATCATGCCCTCATGAAAAGGTCATTCAGGATGATTACACTGAAACAGGTTGTTCCCGAGCCAGCGAATATAGAATATCGTCCCCAGCCAGCGAATTTCGAATATAACCCTCATTTTCAACTCAGCCCAAATGAGAGCTGTAGTCACGCCGGAACGGGCTCCTTCGAGATTGGTACCACTCGCCCTCTCAAAGCGTTTCAAAGCATACTGGGCCTCATGGCGGCGGCATCGCCAGCGCTACAGTTGGGTCTGCTGTGTATGCGCCCCCTTCAGCGCTGGTTGAAACCACGGGTTCCATCCCATGCGTGGCGTCACAGACGCCTGTAGATCAGGGTGAGTCAGGCCTGTGTAACAGCCCTGGCCCCCTGGAAGAACTCCCGCTGGATGGAACAGGGCGTGGCCATGGGGATGGTTTGCAGAAGGACAGTTGTCACAACAGACGCCCCCAACTCAGGTTGGGGGGCGTTGTGCGAGAGCATACCGAATTTCGGCCACTGGTCGAAGGCGGAAAAAGGCTTCCACATCAACTGCCTGAAAATGCCACGATTGGCCCAACCTCCTTGCTTTTCCCCCGATCGCTCTGATCCCATAGGTAATCAGGCGAGTGAGGGAACAAAAACACAAGGTTCTCCTGGTGGCCCCCCTTTGGATGAACCAGCTGTGGCTATCAGAGCTAACTCAGCTATTGATAGTGGCCCCTTGGCCTGTTCCGCTGAGACAGTATCTCCTCTCTCAAGCGAATGGGACAATATGGCATCCTTGGCCCGACCTATGGGCCCTGCACCTCTGGCCGCTCGACGGGAG